TAAATCTATTATTTAAATAAATTAAGTTGAATTAAGCCTTAAAAAGATTATAAGCTGACGCACATGCTAATATATTTCTATTCCTAGGTTGGGTGAAGTGTCTTAAAAATCAAGGTAAGATATCTCGTGGCACATGAATACTTCACGCAGTAAATGAAAAAGCCGTGAATAGCCCAACCATACTATTTTAATATTATATATTCATAATATTAAATATTATTTTTCAATAAAACTTAATTTTATAATTAAATTTAATATTTTAAAATTAATATTTTTTATTAGAAATTATATTTATTATACTTTTATGTTTTTAATATAACAAAATTTGTAATAAAAATATTATTTTTAATATTTAATCGTAATATTAAAAATTAAAGTTAACACATCGATAAAAATATATTTCAATTTGTCTATTTTAAAATAAGTACAGCTATGTATTTAAGTCGCATTTTTATAAAATTATTATCATGAAATATGTTATAACTTAATTATTTAAATGAGTCAAACTTAATATAAGTATATATATAATTATAATTTTATTAATTATATTTCTTTAAATTTATTATTATTATTATTATTATTATTATTATTTGTATTATTTATCTAATTATTATTATTTAAAATATGCTATTTATATAGTAATTTTTTAAACTTTTAACCTTAATATATTTTTATGCAGGTAAAATATATTTATTATTATTTTATTTTCATTTTTTGTATAAAAATATTTATTAAATATTAAATTAATAAAAAAACTAATAAGTTAAATTTATTTTAAAAATATTAATCAAGTTAAGTTCAAAAGTCTTTTAAATAAATAAATTAAATTTCAAAAAGTCTCTTACTTTAAAAAAAGTAAGAGACTTTAAGATGCAGACTAAAAAAGTTCAAGTCTAATTCAGATAAGTAAAAATAGTATTAAAAATGAATAAATTTTAATTTTTTTAAATGTTTTTTAGATTTAACCTAGTTTAGATTAGATCAAGATAAAAAGACTCAATCTTAATTTGAACTCAAAATGTAAAACTTAAGTCTTACATTTTATCAAGTTGGAGTTCAACATATTCATCTTGTCAATTCTAGTTTCAAAAGAAAAAAGAGGAGAGTATTTTTTTTTAAATTAATATAATTGTATAATATTTATAATAACAAATAATTCATATGATATATTTTTAATCTTAAAATTTATAAAATTAAAGTACATTTATTAAAAATAAAAAATATTATCCTATTTTTTTCTTTTTTCTAAAACTCCCTTAACAAAATTATTATAAGTATATATATTTTAAATTATTAACTTCAATCTTTAAAATTTACTTTAAAAATCTATTGGCTTTAAACATGATAAAAAAAAACTCAATCATTACATTAAAGTAATCAATGTGTGATAAATACTTTTTAAATAAAATTTTACTATTTTTAATTTTTTTAAATGCTAAATATTGAAATTAATTATTTTTATTTTATTTTTCATTAATTGAGCATTTAAAAAGTTGGGTGAAAATGGTGTTTGTGGAATGCGTGCAACAGCACATATTGTGGGACCAAACCCTTTTTTACATGGGTAGCTGTAATACAATTTTCTATGGCTATAAATCTTGATGTGTACCCAGGTTCATCCACTCACATTGAACTATACCTCCTACACTTCCTTAGCTCTAGTTGAATTACTGCAATTTTTGGCTACAATGGCTTCACCTTCTTTGCACATAGCAATGTTTCCATGGTTTGCAATGGGACACATTACACCATTTCTCCACCTCTCCAACAAGCTAGCTGAAAGAGGACACAAAATCTCTTTCTTCATACCAAAACACATACAACCCACATTTCACCATCTAAATCACCATCCAAACCTCATCACTTTTGTCCCAATCACTGTTAATCCTCCCAATGATGATGGCCTTTCCCATGTTGTTGAGACCACTTCACAAGTTCCTTCCTCCACAGTCTCACTTTTGATGACTCCAATGGACCTATGTGAGAAGGACATTGAAGTCAAACTCCTTGAGCTAGAACCAAACATTGTTTTCTTTGATCATGCATATTTGTTACCTATACCACGTTTAACTCAATGCTTAGGCATTAAGTCCTTATTGTATTTTGTTATAAGCCCTTCATCATTGGCTTATGAGTTGTCCCCTTCAAAGATAACTAAAGGGTATAACATAACTGAACATGATCATATTATGCTTCATGCCCATGAAGCAAAAGTCCATGCTGGATTTGGAAAACTTAAGTATGGTAATGGCATTGTTTGCACTGAACGTTGGACTAACAGTGTAACTCAATCTTATGCTATAGGACAAAAAGGTTGTGGACTGATTGATGGAGGAGCTTATGTTGATTACTATAGGAGGCCTTTGTTGCTTGCAGGGAGTGTTACACCAAAGACAATTGCATCTAATTTGGATGAAAATTGGGCACAATGGCTTGGAAGTTTTGAAGCTGGTTCAGTGGTTTATTGTGCATTTGGTAGTGAGTGTGCATTAGAACCATGTCAATTTCAGGAATTGTTGTTAGGTCTTGAGCTATCAGGTATGCCATTTTTGGCAGCACTTAAACCCCCTAGAGGTTTTGAGTGTGTTGAATCAGCTTTTCCACAAGGGTTTAAAGAAAGAGTTCAAGGAAGAGGGGTTGTGTATGGTGGATGGATTCCACATCCCTTTATTTTGGAGCACCCATCTGTGGGGTGCTTCATTACACATTGTGGGACAGGGTCTTTGTCAGGGGCTCTAATGAACAAGTGTCAATTGGTATTGTTACCAAATCATGGTGAAGTGGTGATTAATGCAAGGGTGATAGGGAACAGCTTGAAGGTTGGTGTGGAAGTGGAGAAATTAAATGCCATCTTCAAGATGGTTTGTTTACCAAAGAGAGTCTTTGCTAAAATGTGAAACCACATCATGCAATGATATTAATCAAGAAAAACCAAGAGTGATACTATATTAAATCCTTGTGCAAAAGGATATATAATTGTGGGTTGATTTCTTTTCAGATGCTGTTGTGAATTGTTAGAGAAATCAATAAAAACCATGCATGAAAGTTTTAGATTGTTGCTTTTCCATTGTTACGAACACTGACACATTTATTTAACACTTATTTTCTTCAACGCACTTTTTATGGGATATTATCACTGAATAAATATCCATAACCTATAAACAAGTAACTTCGATTCTATTTATACTTATCACGTAATATATTTGAATTAATTACTAAAACTGTCATTTGATTAATAACTGCTATTACATTTTTTTTTGTCTATTTGATTTCAGTTTAATGATTACCATATTATTATGTATATCTGTCTTAAGGGCTAGGATCAAATGGAAAAACTCACCTAGTCAAGAAAATACATTCTCCAACACAATCTTAATTATTAGTTAAAATTTATAAAACATTATAAAATTAAAAGAAAAAAAATTAAATTAAAGATGAAAATGAGTGAAATTCACATAATTCTTATAATTTTAATAAATTTTAACGAATAACTAAGGTCTATTTGGATGTAAGGTGAAATATCTCAAAAATAAAAAAAAGGAAAAAAGAAAATAAGAAATGAAGAAATGATAAAAAAATCTTTTCATTTATTTTGATGAGTTAAATAAAGTGTAAAAGAAATACTTGAATTTAATTAAAAATATTCATTAAAAAAAATTAAAATTGAGTTAAAAAATTGTATTTTTTAAATATTATTCTTAATATTTTTATATTATTTAAATTTTTTTTTTAAAAATAACCCCTCCCGATTCCCCTCCCTCATCATTATTCATTTCCCTTATTTTTGAAGGAAATTTTTTTGTGGGACCTGTAGATCATCAAACTAAGTGTAGTTTTTATCTTTTACTCTATGTCTCTCCCTCCCTTCTATTTTTCTAGCATTCAAACACACCGTATAAATTCTTATAAATCATATAAGAGAAATAAGTAAAATTGTGGTAAAAAGTGTTATTAATATTTTTATTTTATAAATTATATGACCTTCCAAAAGCGTATAGTTCACTAATTCTTGGATATAAATTCTCTATTCCATTTTAATTTTTTTATTTACTTTCTTTTTTTTCCTTTTTTTTTTATTTTTATCTTCTCTTTTACATGAGTACATAGTATAAGAACACTTTCTGGGATCTCAAATTACCTACCAAACTTAAAAAATAAATTTCATTATAATGTTATGAGTATCCAAAACGGTAATGAATATAGAGCGTTAAAAGGGTAACACCAAAAAAAATTTGAAAATAAAAAAAATAAAAATGTTAAAATTGGATGAGTAACTACACAAGAAAGATAATATATGAAATGATTATATAAAACTGATGTTAGTGTGACATGCATCTATTAAATAGAAATGATAAAAAATAAGTTAAGATAATTTACTTATGTACCAAAAAGTTATTAAAGACATTGATGAAGAGACTAGATTGCATAATTTTTAGTTCTATTGTACTTTTGTAACAAGGGTAAAAGAAAACTATTTTTTTTAAAACATAAATTATTAACACAGTTCAAAAATTTGATTTTTCACTTAAGTTGAATAATTTAACAATATTATATGATCATATTCAAGAAGATAAGACTATTGTTTTTGTTGTATATGAATATAAGAATAAATCTTTCTCTTTGCTTTGGTTCGGATATTTATGTTAGTCATGCATTTAAACAGAAGTGAGGAAATTTTGCTTATATGGAAAAATATATAAACGAATATAGCTGAATATAGGTACACAGTTTTTTGAATGTGTTTGACAATTAACTTCAAGAACTCTTTGTTTTTTAATAGCAAGTAATGGACCAGTTTAAGTTTGGTTGTGGTTAAGATCAAATTTTTAATTCAATATAAACCTATCCCGTGAACATCTACAGAGTGGATTCACATGACACGCCTAAAAGTAAGTGAAACTAATACAAAACAATATTCCCTTAACACCACTCAAAACTCCACTATAAATTGTAGATTAGACCTAGCTGCATAGTAACTTGGCTGATGAGATAGTACAGTCATGGCACATACTTGTAGCAATTTTTTGGTGAAATGGCTAGTAACAGCATTGCTCATTGCCTTGTTGAGTGGTGCCAAAGGTGCTGCTATATGTAATATAGAGTCAACTAAGTTAAGCTTATGTTATGCAGCAGTTACTGGGAAATACCCTCCAAAACCCACTGAAAAGTGCTGTGCAGTTATTAGACATGCCAATTTGCCTTGCCTTTGCAGATACAAGTCTGTCTTACCTGCTGTTGGAATCAATCCCACAAATGCTTTGGCCTTGCCCAGTAGATGTGGTCTGAAGAAAACACCACCTGAATGTAGAGGTAATCATCTTAGGCCTCAATAAAACTTTAACATAAACACAACTTACTTGGACTCATTTTTTGACTAGAAAATGTTTCTTGACTCAATATTCTTTATTTTGCAGTGACTTGAAGCAATTCTTGAGGATCACAGCAATTAAATGCATCCCCTTAGTCTTTAGTTTCCTTTCATGCGCTGTATTAATATTGGAGAAGCTTTTAAATTGATATTCTATGACCCTCAAATAAATGAGTAGTTTAATTTCAATCTATGTCTTTCCCTCACGTCTTCGAGATGTATCATGTATCAGTTTCCTATTATGTAGATTCAAAAGAGTATTTGATGTACTACTTTTCTTGGATATCAAGTCAAGAGTCAAGTATCATTCCCCTGTCACTTAATCTTCAATTGTCTAATGAAGTTCTTATTTCTTGTTTTCTGATTTCAATGCACTAAGCAACAAATGGATTAGGACAGAAGCATTTAAAAACTCATTTTTAAGGCAATATGAATTTTATGATATGTAATGTAAAGCAGCCCCCAGTAGCATCTATCCACAATTCAAGCTGACAATCCAAAATAAGACATTATGCATACACCCAATTGCTCATGAAATTAACTCAATAAAACAACTAATAATATCATGCATTTACTAAAAATTCTGTTGTTGCTAACTTGCCACGACATTCATGTCTATAGGAAAGAAAATATACACTTTTTTAAAGCATCAAGTTCTCACTCTCCCGTGAGATATTCCAAAAACAGCTGCTCCCTGATTCATAACAATATTCCTCACTTGAGCATCCAAAACAGTAGAATTGAATCCTGATTGCACTTACTCATCTTCAAAATTGGACTCAAATGGATCATCATTTGTGTTCCAACATTAAAGTGCATCATTGAGATATCTGCGCTTCTCTATATTGCTAGCACTGTGGCTGGTTTTCACGAGGTCCCCCAAATATAGGTCTCATGTAAGCATCATCAAATTTCCTCCAATAGTAATGTATGGTGTAAACAGGACTTTCTATTAACATGGACAAACTTTCCTTTGCACGGCTTATGTTGGTTGCTGCTGACTCCTCAAAGGATATCAAAGGTAGATTTAGATCCTCAACAGGACCTGATTCTTCATGGCTGGTGTTTTTCCTTGTGGCGTTGTAAGGAAGCAGATATCTAATGAGTGGTTTTGTGAGAAAACCAAACACCTGAAATGATGTTGGTGTTAAATAAATTATTTAAATGTTATATCAAATTATAAGAATGACTCAAAAGCTGGATGTAGAAGCTGCAAGAAATGGTTTCACTTTGCTTGAAGACAACACAAGGAAATTAATCTTTTATAGTTACCATGAGCAGTTGTAAGTGGTTATTTGTTATTTTAAAGAGAAAAGTGTCAACTCACCAGTGTGGTGAAAAGGACAACAATAATGGTATTGGTAATCATTGTTGCATTAACTGGATCAGAAGTAACACCAGAATATGTGAACTGCATAAGTAGGAAGAGAAGAATTGAATGTATCTCATTCTTAAGGCAACCCAATACTGTTGTTTGTTGCATAATGTGGGAAGAATTTATATACGTAATCCAATGAATGGTAAATTATGAAGGGTTGCTATGGTATTGGTAACATCCAACAACAGATATTGATTGAGGAACTGTAGTCTATTGATTAACACTCATATTTAATGAAATTCCTTTCTAATTATAATGTCTAGAAATTCAAATTTCATAATATACCTGTTTGAAAGCCAGAGCAATTGAGACTGCTCCCCTCATTAGCCCAGCCCACCAAATGACTATCTGGATGGTTCACCAAACATAAGAAAGAGTATTTTCTCAATTAACTGTAACATTTAACAATATGAGAATGACATATAAAACATGTTTAGTAACCTGATGTTTGAATGTGATACTTGATGCTTGGTCAGAACGCCTGTTCATATAATTGGCAAGAGCAGAGAGAGGAAAAACAAATGCAGCCCGCCCAAGCAATATCAGTAAGATTAAGCAACCATAAATTCCTGTCAAATTTCCATAGCTGCAGTGAAGAAGTTGACAAGAGAGTTTTCATCAGAAGAAATAAAGGCTGTTGTACCAAGGTGATATGTTGCAGTAAATCTCAAATAATTCTTCACAAGATTCCTGAAACACAAATCTTGCAAAATATCAAGTACTTAAGATCTTGTGTGTCATCTAAAAAAAATTTCAAGCAGCAGATAATAAGGTAGCTAAGATGTAGTTTTGTGCACTAATTCAATTATTAGTGATTATTTCATTATTACAAGCAGATCAGAATTAGACTTTATAGTATAATGTTTTGTTGATCATAGTCCCGTAAGTTGCGTCATAATCTGATAAATACTTTTGACATAGTTGAAATTGATATTGAAGTAACATTGACTTATCTATGTTAGTAGTGGCATTATGCAATCAGTAAACTTGTACACATCAGATGCCAGCACATACATCGGACTACAAATAACATGACATCGTTTGTGTATTACATCAGTTCCTAATAGAATCTTAAAAAAAAATGTAATTGGTTAGAGTTGTAAAAAGGATTAGGACCTTAATTGGGTCATCTTCCACTTTTCAATGTCAAGAGCATCCATGCCCACATAAAGAAATATGAAGGTTTCAGCAATGAATGACATTGTTGCAAACACATGCCTGGAGAAGAGAAACCAATTCAGAAACCTCAGACCTTTAAATCTCGAAATTATGAAAATCTTCAATGGATTAATCAATACCTGGTTGTGATCCTTGAAGTTTCAGTCACATTATGCCATGCATAATGTGACATTAGTATTCCACAAAAGAAAACAGTGAGGATTCCACTTAGATTGAGTAGCTGCATAAGAATTTAAAGTTAAGAAGATAGATGGCAGAAAAAGGTAGATACTTATTGTTCATCTTCAGATAAAATTAGATTTTCATTAACATTTTGGTTAAAACTTCATCTTATTGTGTAGTTTTACACTTAAGTGCCTCCATGCAAACTGAGAGGCAACCCGTCCCCAGCTGCCACCCCTCCCCTCCCCTCTCCTCTCAAAGAATTGAAAAAACAAAAAGGAAAAATAAAAATAAAAATGAAAGGGAAAGTATAAGAAACCTCAATAAACCCCCAAGCTCCATAAGCTAAGCTACCTACAGATTGACTGAACCCAAACCCATTTAGTGAGCCTTGAACGTTGCAACTAATGCCAAATCAATAGCATACAAATTGTATGAGCTTTTAATACCTCTGACAACATGTAGGATAGGTATGCCATTAAGATCATCAGTGCAATTTCACGAACACTTGAATGTCTGCAAGCATAAGCAGAGGCAAATTTATTAATCTGCTGAAAAGTTTACCTCCTTAACTGCAGAATCTGAAATGCAACTATTGAACTTTGATATTCCCATTTCAAGCCATTCTAAAAATACCATTTGGGATAATTTTTAGAGAACAATACATACTTTCCAAAGCTTAAAGCTCTCAAGATATAAGCTGTGAGAAGTCCAGCCTGCATAGCATTTAGTTGAAGAAATGACGTGAGAACAAATAAGAATGAGGGTTCCTCTAGTCCTTTCCACTAATAACAAGTTATTTCTAAATAAACATTCATTTTCAATCCTCCTTTTTCTCTTACTTGATTCTAATATCTTTGTAGTTCCTACTAATCCTGATGGGAGACTTTGGACTACGGATGCTTCTGTAGCATTTTCTTGCAAATCACTTTTCCAGTTTCATACTTTCTTCCAACCTTCACAATTTCCTTCTCAACAACCCAATCATAAATCCAATGATCTTTCTCAATTCACACGAATTCTGTTTGAACAATTGCACTTAAATAAACACAATTTACTTGTCACAGACTTGTAGGCCTGACATGTGCATCACGTGCAATTCATGCTAAGAAACAGCTTACAACTCCATTTCGTAGTTTTTCAAGAGCACTAGGTGTGTCCTACCATGGAGCAGTTTTGATTGGTTGGCATCAGTTATTTTGTACAATCAAGAAGGCCAAGAATTATTTGGCAGGGTGAAATTTTTGCAACTTCGGTGCATTTGATTGGAAAAGAACAAACATCTTTAAGGCTTGTCCTTAAATTCACACTGAGATGATAGGATTTTGTTCCTAGATTTTCTATGGTTTTCTACCCTTGGATGCTTCTACAGGGTATGCCACATATTTGGTATGATAAAAGAGAGATTGGGTAGCCTTATTGCAATTTTAAATTCTTCTTGTTTTTCTCTACTTGGTTTTGGCCTTGTTTTAGAGGAAACCTTATCCCAGACCCTCATTGTACTTTCCTTCTCTTTTATGCAATGAAATTTCTTCTTCTATAAAAAAGAAACAAATAGTACAACTTCCAAAATTGATAGCATTCCACATAATAAATATAATTCTAAAATAAAAATCAAGTTCAAAATGCAAACAATGTTTTGAATCAAATGTGAGTTCCCAGGGACAAACTTCAAGTGCAACAAGATGAAACTTAGTAAACTTCACTTGGTGAATGCTCTTCCACATAAAAAGTAGATTATATAGCTAGACATGTGAAAGAAAAATCACCAATCAACTAGAGATTTTATGAAAGCCTAACAACCAAAGTTATTTCATTTGGATACAATTTTTACTAATGAAACTCACTAGAATCCCAAGACCAGTGCTTGATGAAAATAGATACAAGAAATCTCCAATAACGCGGAACATCCTGCCATTAAATCGTGAAACATCAAGCTTTTGCACTGCATTGAAGAGAACAACTGATGTTGCATCATTTACCACTCCTTCTCCAAAGACTAGGCTGTATAGTAAAGGGGTTTCATCTTGGTGGAGAACCTACAACAGATTCCATATGCAGTGTTGACAATATATGAGCACATTGAAATAGTTAAATGAAAGAAAACCATTTCAAAATCTTACTAACCTGCAGGGTACAAACTGTGTCCGTTGATGAGAAAATTGTTCCCATAGCTGAATCATATTAAGATGAGCTAATTATCATCAAAATATGATATATCTATACATATGGATCCATTATAAATATAGTCTCTATTTCTGTGTAGTATTGAGAATGATCTCACCAAGATAATCTCGCACTGTCAGGCCTAGCAAGTTTAACTTGGGGAACAGCCACCAGCTGCCTAGGTGAACCAAATGCAAAGACTTAATGAAGAATTATTTGAGGTAAATTTTCCATAGTGATAGTGCTATAAATTAAAAAGAAAAGAAAAACTAAGAGATTATATCATTACCGCACGTAATAAGAGAAGATGAAATAAAAACTCCAATCACTCCAAAAAGCATGATGGTTAAAAAGTTATGGAAGAACTGTTTCTTCTTCACCTGAAATCTGTTAGGAGGGATAACACACGAGTCAAGACATTAAAATTTTTTGGAACCACAAGAGCTAATTCAAGTCTAATAGAAGAAAGAACTTTTACCCTGCATTGAATATAATGGGAGGAAGGAGATATATGAAGAATAGTTCTTCATTAAATGTAAGGATGTGAGAACTCTTCCCTTTGGTGATGAATAACAGTATCATTCCAGCAATGCATCCCTACCAAGGAGAATGTTAGGCACAAGGACTCAATGATAAGTTGTATTCAACGCTAATTTCTTTTTAGAATCCTACAAAAATTATCCACAAAAATATAGCAACGAAGGGTTGTTTGGAAAGAACCACCTTATTAATGAAGGGGAGAAAAAGAACTCTTTCTAGTTATTTAGAACTATTTCTGGAAAGCCAGAAAGCACATGGAACTCAAAAGTGCTTATATTCTTCATGCTATTGCAACTATGTAAAGAAGGTAATCCAACATTAATTTATGATGAAGAAGATATATTTCATTAACAACTGTTACTTCAGCATCATATATACTATTGATTAATTTCCCAATAGACTCTATAACATTGACCTTTTAGATGGATGACAATGTATTGTGTTTACATTGTGTTTGACCGCAAGTTACCTCTCACCCCCAGTCACAAAGATGCATAATCTAAAATAAAGTAAACCACAGTGCTACACAAAAGCAGTTCCATTCTTGTGCAGACCCCATGCTTCCTTCTTTTCTTAGTGCTTTTTCATAAATTTATTTGTTTTCTTAGTTCCTCTATTTTCTTCACCCTTAATGTACATACTTGTTAAGGAGTTTACTCACAAGGCCTCTCAATCCTCACTCTTCCAAGTATTCGTTTTGCTACGAAATTAATATTGTAGTATTTATCAATGAGATCACAATCCCATAAGCAAAGTTTTCAACCATTCTTGTTATTGCTAGCAAACAACAAATGGGGCATGCATAACACAAACAAGAGTGATACATGGTCTAATATGGGTTTGAATAATGAAGGGAAAATATAAACATTGTGACTCAAGTAGAAAGTAGAAGAATGTAGCTCACAACTACAATGGCAACAATGGACTCATTAACCCATCTATTTTCTTCAAGTAAGTGACCAATGACCAAGCAGAGGCAGAGAACAGCCACAAAGAGTGATATAGGCACCACTTGTGCATGATCATGAGCCAAATTCCTCACTAAGTCAGGCATCAAATTTAGTGGCACCATTGTCATATATTGTTCTCCAATTAATCAAGTTCTAACAATTGAGCTCACACCACCCATCTCTCTAGTTTATATCAGCTACAAAAATAACTTTGTTGATGAAAATCAAACGAAAGAAAATCAAGAATATGCCACGGATTCAGAGCATGTACGTAGCGGTGATAGCAAGGGGTGACACGTAGTACAGACTGCATGAAGAGGTAACGTGTCACTCTCAAAATGAAGATAAGATCCAAGTCTGACGCTACTAATGTTTGACAAATAATTTATGTTTTGTCACATTCTGTAAGTTACTCAAATTATTATCTTATATATAAGATCGTATAAGAGACATTAAATATAAATATAGTTGTATAAAAATATCTTACATACTAAAAGATTATATTTATCACTTTCATGTTTGTGTAAATGTTAAAAAATTGAGATTGTAAACCTTGATTGAGTTTTGTTTACTTAATTATAGGATTGAGTTGTTTTATAGTACCTAAACTCCATTTATTTTCTCAAGAAAGAGAAAAACAAATCTCATCTCACCTATCCGATGGAGATGATAAGTACTTAAGCAGACTTTTATTTATCTTCTTGCATGATGATAAGCATAGGGTGATATTTTGTATTTTGTAGACAACATATTTGTTTTTTCTTCCTCCTGTTTATTTATTTATTTTTTATATTTAGATTAAGCATTTTAAAATTAAATTTAATTAAAATATATTAACAATATATATAGATTTTATATATTTTTAATTATAAAATATTATATTAATGGTATCTATTAATTTTTATAATAATTAATTTATAAGTTATATTAATTATACATTTTATAATTAGTTAATATGTAAAAATTTTATCTCACAGTAAATTAAAAATAAAATTCTTAAAATTTTAAGAGTAATTTCTTTAAAAAAGTATTTTTTATTGATGCATACCACAACATAGTCATAGAAGTTAGGAGGTTTGGTACACATCAAATTTTTGTAATCTTTTATAGATAATGTCACGAAAATCAATTAAAATAATAATGCTCTCATTTAATATATATATATATATATATATATATATATATAATTAAGAAGTTAAAGTTAAAAAGTTGTGCATATATTATTTATTTGTAATCAATTTATCTTTTATTTATGATTTAAATTTTTATTTTTGATATCTGAATTTTAATTGTTTGAGTTTAACGTAATAAACTATAAAGTTTATTTAATTTAAATAAAGAGGAAAAGAAAAAAAAATCTTAATTGATTATATTAATAGAGTTAAAATAATTAATATAGTAAGAAAGTCATATATATACCAAATCCATTTATTTATAAGAAATCTATCTATTATTTTTTATATGATTTAAATTTTTATTATTAATGTTTGAAATTTCATTATTTGTGTTTAAAATAATAAAATATATAAGAAAAATTGTTTGAATTAAAAAAATTGATCTCTTAATTTTTTTTCAAAAACCTACTAATATATATTGTATATATTTAATGGACTTTTTTTTTTACTTTTATTTGAGGGCTTCAATTTTGTATTTAGTGAATTTTTAAGTGTAAATAAGTGAAATTAAATTAAATATTTGAAACTTAAATTTGGATAAAAAATATGATTTTAATGTTGATTATTTGTTTGAAAAAATTGACTTTTTAAAGAGAATAGGAAGTCATTTTCCATTTATAATTTGATCAATTTTTTGGTTATTAAATATATTTTTTAACTTTATCATTTAAGTAATTAATAAGATTTAAAATTAAATTAATTGAATGCATAATAAAATTAAAATATCATTATGACAAATACTTCTTAAGAATTTTTCGAGTCATCTATTCCATAATTATTAAAATAAAGTTACCAAAAAATAAATATTTTTTTTTTGATATAGTAGTACTATTCAATTACTTTTAAATTATTTTTGAACCATACTGTATGAGGTGAGGCTTTATTCTAATACCAATTGTAATGTCTAATAATTTATTTGAAATTGATGACTGATCCCATAAATTTTTTTTAAGAAATAAGTTATCAAAAAGTAAATATATTTTGTTGATATATATAATATTAATAATTTTTTTAAAGTAATCTTTAATTCGATAGTCCCATATTTTTTTATCCTTCTGGTTTCAATGTATATTTGATTTATTCATGTATTTTTTTTTTCTAAAAACTTGTTGAGTCAGTTGTTTATGCCTCATTACACACTCTGCTCTCATCATCGTTGGAAATGTCACATACAACTAAAAATTGTTTTCATTAATATATGGAATGTCATAATGTAATATTAGATTAATATAATATTATTAGTATTTGAACTTTAATTATTTTTAAATATAAACTAAACTTTTTAAATAAATTATAAGTTATTGAATTCAGTTTAATATTTGAACTTTACAAAGTGAAAGTTGGAGTTTAAAATTAAATATTCCTTAAATAAAAAAAATACACAAAATTCTTTTTACATCTCTTTTGGGTCACTTTGAAGACTTTTAGTTTATAATATTTTTAAATATTTTAAAAAATAAAATAAATATCTTGCATTGTAATATGACTTGGTCAATTCTCACATGTAAATGCAATATTATTATTCATAAGAAATTGACCAAGTGAAACAGACGTGAGAGCATTGTCTACCAACACATCAACCATCTTGCATATTTGTTTTAATTATTGGTGTGAGTTTTTTTAATTATTTGCATCTTTTTTGTTATATGATTTGTTAAAATTCTCATTGAGTCTCAAATAATGTAAACAGTCGAGGTGCTTGAAGAATATATACAGTTCAACACTGTCACAAGTTCTATGGTATGCATATATCTCAAAAGCATTTCACAGTCAAGTATTTAATTTTTTTTATTTATCAAATTTTTAACAATTTATTTCAAAATAGTATAACATAATAGCCGACTTTCAAATTTAAAAAGAAAAATATCTAACACATACATGCAAACCATGTATACAGAAAGAGATTGTTACAAATGGACTTCATCCCTTCATTGAAACTTTCTGCAGAACATAAATTTAATGCCAACATGAAGTAATCCCACAATCAATATTTTTAATATTAAATCATGTACATATTGTAATATTTGAGACTTTTAAAGAAGTTAATAAAATTAACGACTACCAGATCATAGTTGGAGACACAACAAACTATACGGCGACATTATGGCATAAAATTAATCAACAAGATATATAGTTGTTGACCTTATACAATGTACTAAAAATTACTATATCACAAGCGCATTAATATTTGATCTCTTACTATTTCTTTTAATATACAGTTTGAAAACTATCCAATAAAACAAAATAAAGTAAATTTTGTGAGTAGATGAAAGGAATAAGTAAAGAGCAATCAAAGATTAATGGGTGATTGACTTAATTGGTGTGTGCTTGATTTCTTTTAAGTAATGTTTTAGGTTTCAGTTTTTTTGTGCAGAAAATATTTCTCTAAGAGAACTAGCATTTGGATATTTCCATGTTAAAAAAATTAATTTCAGGAAAAAATATTTTTTGCTTATTTTTATCAAATTTTTGAAATAATTTCTGAAAGAACCATCTCAAGAAAGGAAAATATGTATAAAACCAAAATGAGCATTTGTAAAAATTTCTGACATCTGCTTGATTTAGTGCAAAAGAGGACATGCAGCAGTGAATATTAAATGCAGAGACATTAATGCTGAAATGTTAGCTAGGAGCAGTTACAGTACAGAGCTACAAGACGACTTTACAGACACTTTTTCTTTCTTATCTTCGTCTCTTTCTCACCATTGCATGTTTTCTACCCATCGTCTCTCTGCCTTTATCCTTTATCCTTTATTTTTCCTCACTTCAATCATTGGTGATGAAAGCTTATTGTAAGTTATATTTCTAGTGTAACGTTGAAGTCATTTGCATGAAAAATTCAAAAACCGCGTGATCATATAATATAATTATAATGTATTAAATGTCATCACATATATATACACGGCAAATAGCTATAGTATATGGTTGACCGTGCCTTCCAAGTAATTAGAAGACCAAAAAGCCAAGGTTGAGTCAAGGGTGTTGTCCTGTGCTTACGAATATTCCTCTAGACGAACAATTCAAGTTCATCATAGCCATGTTCTATTAGTCAGACATTTATTTTAGTTATCTTTCTTAGAACTGCATAATTCGCATACAAGGATTTTCTTGGTAAAATTTGAAACCTATGTGGCACTTCATGTCTCTCTCTCGAGTACTTGTTATACTAAGTCTTCAGTTCTCATTGCTAGCACTGGTTTCTTCTTCTGGCTGGAAAACATTGCAAGGTGTGTTTCTAATTCTGCTTCTATATTTAGTCTTCTAATGTTTCCCATGGTCCTTATTTATCTTGTTAATACCTATTTTCACATGAATGCTGAGATTCATGCTTTCAAGGAAGTTGGGTATTTGATGTTTTTTCTTGTTTTTGAATCTTGTTTTAGCTGGCTAATTATTATGTCAACTTTTCAATTTAGATTATTTGATATATAGAGTCATCAATTTTCTATGTTGACAAGATTTATAATAAGTAAGCCATATTATTATATTGGATCAATTGATATAACAAAGAATTTAAGGAAGTTTCATATTTTTTTAATTATGTCCATGCTCAAACACATCTTGAAAAATGATAGCTTTATTGTGATTGATATGGCCTTCAAATAAGTAGTAGTAGGAACTAACAATGTTAACTGCACAATGGGTTTTCATCTCTTGAAAGTAGTAAAATTTTGTTGTAAGATGTGTATTCTTTATAAGCAAATGCTAGAACTTTTGTTACTCTTCTTGAATTACTGGGGAATCAAGATATAAGGACCATGGAGTGTCATAATGATTCACATGCTAGTTTGGTATGCTACGCAGGGTCTCCACCACTGGTCATAGCACGTGGTGGGTTTTCAGGGATATTTCCAGATTCAAGTTCACCTTCCTATAGTTTGGCTCTAGACACTAGTGGTCCAAATGTTACTCTATGGTGTGATGTGCAATTGACAAAGGATGGAATTGGGATTTGTTTTCCACATCTTAAATTGGACAATGCCACTGACATTTCCATGGCTTATCCTGGCAAAGCAAAGGATTACTCGGTTAATGGGGTCCAAAGCAGGGGATGGTTTTCTGTGGATTACAACTTTGATCAACTAGCAAATGTCTCCCGTGAGTTCAATCTATCTTGAGACCTGAGCATTTTGTTTCAATTACCAGCGAAAATATTTTGTCTGGATCATGCTTAAATCTTTTTTATCAAATAAATAAGAGATAAGAAGACGGGGCAAGTGATGACATTGATCTTCTTAAGAATGGAACAAAGAGTAAAACATCAATTTAGTCCCTGAATTGGTACATTTTTTACCAAGCCTAATGGCAGTCGTATGATTCATGTAGCTGATCCCATCTAGCGGGAAAAGGCTTTGTTATTATTGTTTTTGTAGTCCTTGAATTGGACCACAGGTCAATTTGGTCCTTGACATCAAGAAAAAGAAAATTTAGTCCTTAACTTTGGCAACTATAAGTTAATTTAGTAACATTGGCATTATGAAAAAGCAATTAGTCCTTATTATGGTAATTATTAGTCAATTTGATTCCTAATGTTAGAGACCAAATTGATTGATGGTAGTCAAATTCAAAGACTAATTGACTGATTATTTGGAAATGTAAGGGACCACATTCACTAGTGGTACAAATTTTAGATATCACATCGGTTTTGCTTTTCTGTAATGTGAAGCACCAAACTGACTGGTGGAGCTAATTATAGGGACTAATTGATGTCTTGTTCATGGAAACGTGTTCTACTGTCCTTTCCCCTTCTTGAATTATTTTATGCTTGTAATCAGTGATAGTTATCTTGTTATTGGAGCAGTTGTTCAAGGAGTGTACTCTCGGACTAATAGGTTTGATGGCAATAAACTCGGCATTCTCAGTGTTGAGGAAGTAGCTAAATTAATGAAATCACCATCTACAGGCCTGTGGTTAAATGTTCAGGTAATTGGAAGAGTATTTGCTTCTTGTCCTTGTACTGGAATGCATTTCAAGGCAGTTCCTGAATTTATTCATTTAAAGTTTGACTTTAATCTCTATTGTGGACTCAACATGCTTTTACATTTTAAAATACAATGCAGCATGATTCATTCTTCAAGCAACAGAATTTGAGTGTAGAAAAATTTCTACTCTCTCTCTCAGCTAAAAGTGTGTCTGTCAGTTACATCTCATCACCTGATGTGGATTTCTTAAAGAGAGTAAGATCAAGCTTTAGTCCTGGAAAAACTAGCCTAATCTTCACGATTCTAGAGCAGTCTAAGATTGAATCTGCTACCAAAAAGACTTATGGTGACCTCTTGAAAAATCTAGCGTTAATCATAACATTTGCTTCAGGAATTCTTGTTCCCAAGGGCTATATATGGCCTGTAGACTCAGGACTTTATCTACAACCACATACCTCTCTTGTCTCAGATGCTCATAAAGAAGGTCTTCAAGTTTTTGTATCAGACCTTTTTAATGATGTTCCATTCAGCTACAATTTCAGTTTTGATCCTCTACCTGAGTGTCTATCTTTCATTGATGGGGGTGATTTCTCTGTTGATGGTGTGCTGTCTGATTTTCCAGTGACTCCATCTGCAGCCATAAGTAAGTTTTGTTTCTCCTATGTAGAATTATAAAAATTATACACCCACATACTCATGCTACGCCTTTTTAATGAGTCTTGATTTTTCTTCAACGCCTTACCAAGTACAATCAATTAAGATATATGGTTTCTAACCTGTGCACATAATAAGAAATCAATAAATATTAATTTTTTTATTGAAAATTACTATATTTCATAGTTTTATTTCTAGAATTTTGTATTTTTTTAATAAAAACTTACTATATATAGGCTCTTGTTATGTACAATGCTGAACAAGTTAGAAAAATTGTATAAGATATATAATGTATTCCTTAAATTTAAATGGAGAATTTTTTTCATTACATCTATGCAAGTATGGAAAACCAATACAAGCCAAAGATGAAAATATGTAATCTATTGAGACTGAGCTGTATCTAACTTTCTTTCTACCTTGTGAATCAGGACATGATAGTTAAAGCGTTATGTTTCTCTAATATTATCATAAATTTTACGTATCTAATTGCAATCAGCATCCCATTCAAATTCTAAAATCTCATTTCTTACTGCAGATTGCTATTCTGGCCTAGCGAAAAATGCCAAAAAACAAGGTATAATTTATTACTGCTCTCTATTGATGCATTACATTTCTTTGCTGTTGACAAGTAATAATTCTTGAGGGAGCATTATACTTAAATCATCTTTATTGATCTGTGCCTTCATTTTCATAATTTTCATGATCAAGTGAACACTTTGGTTATCACAAAATATGGAGCAAGTGGAGACTACCCTGCTTGTACTGACCTTGCATATACTCAAGCTAAATCAGATGGAGCAGACGTACTTGATTGCCCTGTTCAAATGTCAAAGGATGGAGTACCCTTTTGCTTAAGTTTTATAGATCTTTTAGAGAGCACAACAGTTGCTAATGAAACAAAATTCAAAAACCGTGCTACATCTGTTCCAGAGATTAAATACCGCCGTGGCATATATACATTCAGCTTGACATGGGATGAGATAAAGACATTGACGCGTAAGTTAAATGATGTCCTTGAATGCTGATTATCTAGGTGTGATATTATTTAGCCATTCTCCTTTCTTGTTTTCTTTCCTTGTGAGGTATCAGTGGGAACTTGGAATTGTTTAAAATTGTTCAAATAATTTATTACTTACATTTTTCACTTGCTAAAATTCCCATATATAATTTTATTGGAGTTACACAAAATAATGTAGCAATGGGTGTATCAAATAAAGAATTACAAGAGGGAAAAAGAAATCTCTTTGCTTGACATTGTAGAATGAGATATTCTTCTAATGAAGTCAATTACGGGCTGATAGTTTACAGAAAGTGTTCTATTTCCATTTTCTGTTTTCACTAATAATTAGAAAACTAACACCTTGTTTTTAAAAGTTTGTACAGAAAATAGTGAAAACAGAAAATGCAAATAAAAAATGTTTTTTGAAACCAAACAACCCCATAGATCCTTTTTGTTGCTTCTAATAGTTCTCTAAAGTATTATAAAGCTTGAATCCTTGGAAGAACAATACTGATAGAATTGACAAAACTAAAATATTTGTTGCTTTTGGCCTGCTCTTTTAAATGCTAAACTAGTTTCGGTTTGGAACTTTGTTAGCCTATTCAATCTAAGTTTGTGGAAATTTAGAGCAAAGGAAGAGGAAAAATAAAAAAGAATGCACCTTATTCTCAACAAATTATGCACCCCTCAATGCTGTTATTCTTTTTTTTTCATTGCAGCCTCAATATTGAACCCTTATGAGAAATACACATTGGTCCGGAATCCAAAATTCAAAAATCAAGGGAAACTTTTAACCTTGTCTGATTTTTTGACCTTGACTGAAGGCTCTCGCATCTTGATCAGCATAGAGGTGAGTTCTTCCATTTCTACCTTATTTGTTCAGGATCCATTCATGTGTTACCTATAGATTTTTTGAAGTTATTACTACGACATTTTTCAAGTATTATTTAAATGATCGTATGATAAATATTTTGTTAGAGAAAGAAAAGTAGCTTGATACAAGACTATAAAGGATAATGTTAAAGACTTAAGTGTTATAAAGTAAAAATGAAACCAATTTACCCTTGTGTATGGTACTTGTTCTTTAGTTGCTACAAATATCTCTAATTCTTGCAACATGACTGAGGGATTGATACTTAAGACAAAGTTGCATTTCATTATTACGAATAATTGGTTTAGTTCATGCATAAGCAATAAAATGAATAGTTTCCACCTTGATTAACTCCTTAATGCTTTGTTAATTCCATTTTCATTTTTTTTGGTTATCAGAATGCTGCCTACCTTGCAGAGAAGCAAGGATTAAGTGTGACAAATGCAGTCCTTGATGCTTTACACAAAGCAAAACCAAGATCACATAGAGTTATGATTCAGTCAACTCATAGCTCTGTGCTGAAAATATTCAAGGATAAATCCAAATATGAAGGGGTTTACAAGGTTGATGAGAATATTGGTGATGCTGCTGGCTCAGCTATTGAGGACATCAAAACATTTGCTGATTCTGTGGTAATAGGAAAAGCATCTGTTTTTCCTGAAACTTCAGCCTTTCTAGTTAACTCTACAAACACTTTGGCAAGGCTACAATCATTTAACCTCTCAGTTTATGTGGAGACTTTCAGCAATGAATTTGTATCTCAAGCATGGGATTACTACTCAGATGCATCTGTTGAGATAAATTCATTTGTCATTGGAGCTAAGATTCAAGGAATTATTACTGACTTTCCTAAGACAGCTGATAGATATAGGAGTAAGTGGAACCTTCTATATTAAACTTACTTCTTGAAAATTTGACATCACTTAGAGTAGGTTTGTATTTAAAAAAAAAACAGTTTTTTATTTTTAAAAGTAAAAAAATAAAATTTATATGCTAATAAGTTTTATTTTTATTTTTTCCTTAAAAATGTTTTTTTAAAATTGTTTTAAAATAGTTTTTTTTAAAATTAAAAATCAAAACATAAACAAACAGACTCTTTGAACATGTTTGATTTCATTTTTAAAAATAATTTAGTTTTTAAAATAAAATGTATTACAAATTTATACTATATTTTATTTTTAGTTTGTTTTTCATTTTTATGATTTATCATAAAACTATCGCCTTATTTTGATTTTATTTTATGTTTTTAAAGTTTTGAACAATATATAGTAAAAACAAAGTGATGATTTTACGATTATTTATAAAATAAGAAATAAAAACAAAAAATACTTTTTCAAATCACACAAACCCTTGTTTTCCACGGCGATGATGAAAAGATGATACTAGTTTTAATTGTAGTGTCTTTTTGTTAAACGCAGTTATTATGGTTTTTTAGAAAAATGTTAGGGCTGAGTTTAAAGAACTTATAATAGTATAATTTTATAAAATAAAAATATTTATTATACTTTTGTAACTTTAATGTAATAAATATATTCATTTCTAGTAAGAGGAATGTTAGTAATACATTTTTGCTAAATATTCTTAATTATATTAGTTAAAATTTATTAAACAAACTAATAAAAAATATTAAATTAAAAGTTAAAAAAGTGAAATCTTCACAATACTTAAATTTTTTAACACACATTTTTTTTTTTTTATATTCTTCTGCCGAATAAAAGCTTATGACATTTATATGTTTAAACTTAGTTTTAAGAATTGAGGATATATAACAATTTTTTTAATAATGTGCCTAAAAAAAAGAGAAGAATTAAGTAACGAATTAATAACTTGTATGAATATCTATTATTACCCTCATTGCTGACTAGAGTTTTGTTCTACATGTTGCAGGGAACTTGTGTTTAAAGCATGGCAAGAAAGAGCCTTATATGAGTCCCACTAAACCTGGAGAACTTCTAAAACAAATTTCTAAGTTATACCTTCCACCACCTTCCCCTCCACTTCCAGTCTTGAATGATATTAATGTGACAGAAGCACCTTTGCCTGGTGTTTCTGGAAAAGTTCCATCTCCCAGGGCACCACCTTCAGCCTCCATCACAGCATAAAGTTGAATATTATATATTTTTATGTGATAGTAAACTAAGCTATCCATGCATGCTATTAGTTGCTATCAGAAGTATTTTTTTATTAAATTGAGTATTATAGTTATTATGATAGCTCCTAATGTAAAATTTTATGGTAACAAAAAACAATGTAAGATGTGATGACCCATGTAGTGTTCTTTCATTATCAGTTACGTTCATTTGAACTGTAGAGATATTTATATCAAGTTGCAAAGAGAAAAAATAAGAATGCTTTACATTTGATCTGGAAGCAAATCTCAACTAGTAACATACAAGAGATTTTGTTTTGAAACAATATTTTTATATTAGGTTAAAGATAAAAAGTTATTTAATTTTATTTAATTTTATGCTGATATTTATATAGACAGGCCCAGCACATATGTTTTTTAAGCAAATTCTATGCCATTCTTCTTTGTTGATGTGATGATTAATTAGAACATGTATGTTCTTACATGTGATGCATAATTTTAATTTAACTTTTTTATGTGAAAGTTTTAATTTAGTCTCTAATTGTGCAAGACTTTTTGAAATAGTCTTAACATTTTTTAAAAAATAATTGTTGAAAATTTTCTTGATATGGAAGGTCATTAATAAGGCGACGAAATTTTTAATAGTTTTATTAATTTTATTCTTTAGATTGATTTTGAACAGTTAAAAATAATATTTATTATATTCTAACTATAAAAAAATGATTTTTTTAAATAAAATTTTTATTTTTAATTATTTAATTTCAATCCATAAAATTGACATTTTCCTACAAGCTATTTATTACTTTTATACTACAAGCCAATCAGCAAGTACCAATATCGTAATTACATTTATGAACTTCAACTTCTTTCTCCAATTACTTTTTAAAAAAAAAAATTTCTTTATGATATTTTTTAACAATATCATATTAGCATCAATCAATTAATGTACAATTAAAACCATAGTTAATAAAAGGTGATCGAGATTCGTTATTCCAAAATACCAAAGTGTAACCATTATTTATCATGCAAATTCTTGATGGATATTTTGTTGGTTAATTTTTTAAAAACAATAATATTTTAAATAATTCTTAATTAATTTTTAGACATGATTAATATTTTAAGACTATCCTTTGTAATTAATTGGTAGATCCTAGAACCTCTTATCCCATCTTGACCTTTCACTATCCAATTATTAAAGGCTGCAAACTGTCACTTTAAGCATTCAAAACCTATATATATAAATGTCACTTGCAATGTACTTGCTCAACACATTTTTATTAATGCTCCTTGATTCTTTCCAGCAAATTAAGCATTTGTTAGAAGACTCTACCAAGCAAGAAATATAAACAAGTGGGAAAGACACTTGTCACAAGGCAAATAGATTTGAGTGTCTCATTCACCCTCCAACTTCTTTTTCTTGAATTCTATTCCAAAATACAACATTTTATGAAATTCCCACCCTGAAATAGTTACTCATTAGGCAATTAGAGGTGTTTCATTATTTCAATCTATATCCAAATTTGAATTCAATTGATCACAAGTGGAAACTATATTGATAGTTATTGTACTCTTTAAATCTTCAACGTTCATTTTGGTTCTTAAATTAAAGTTGAGGCCAACATCAACTCTTTTCAAATGGGGATTTACTATATGGTAAGCTTTAATTCAAGCTAATTATAGACATTAGTTCCACTTTGGAGCGAGGCAATGCATATAGAAAACATAAAGCTGTTTGTGAAAATAGGGAAGTAATTGACCATCAATAGTACATGAAAGATGTGAAATGAAAAATTTTTAAAACAATTTAAGGATGGATTTCTAATAGACATTTCGTTGATATTATTCTTCAAATAAAAATTATGTAAACTAGTTTAGTTGGCAATGAAATTTATAAGAGAAGTTTCAATATAGCTTAGCTTTAGAGATTACTTGATTAATAAGGCTTTTATTACCAACGCCTACCCATATAAATAAATAATAAAAAAGGACAAAATTACACATAACTAAATATTTAAAAATATAAAATGAATTTTTTTATATTAATTTTCTTTCAAAGAGCACACAAATGAATTACATCTCACTATTTGAACATTCTGCTTCACAGCATTTGTAGGGGTCCATTGGATCATTCTTTTACAATTTATTACCATGGTATTGTAAAATCATATTAATCCTATTTCGATTTAACAAATTAGTAATCTAATGAATATATTGCAAAGAAGTAACATAATTCCTAAAGTCTTACTTACTATCATTAATTAAATATAATGCACTTAGTGGAACAATAAGTTTTTAGCATGGACCCTTATCTGATGCTGACCAAATATGGACTCTTTTTTGAAGAAATATGATATTTCTTGCTCAGGACTGGTCCAAGGGGAAAGCTGTTTTTTTTAAGCCTCAATTATGTATAAATTATAAATTTTAATACTTACATCATTTATTTTATAAAATTAAAGTTTATCTTATATTAAATTTTATATAATTTAGATATTTATCAGTATATTATCTAAAATTTAATATTTTTATATTTTAAAAACATATTACTTATTAATATAAAGTGAATAAATGAAATTAATTCCTTTTATAAATTAAAATTAACTTATATTTTTTTAATTTTATAAAAAATTCTTTTATGGTAGGTATATTAATTAAAATTTATTATTTTTTTATATTTTAAAACTAAAGATTAGATCAACTCAGTTTATAAATAAAATACATCAATCTTTAAAATTATATATATATATATATATATATATATATATCATGATATGTAAAATACTATTTAGTCGCTTTGGTTTTAATTACTCATATATAGTCTTTTTCAAGTTTTAAAAATTTACTATTTTTGTCATTCTAATTTTAATTGCTCACATATAGTTGTTTAAATTTTTTAAATTATAATTTTTGAACTCCTAATTGTAATTCTTCATGTTTAATTTTACTAATTTTTCAAATGTTTAAATTGAGTGATTTATTATTGGATAAAATTTTGATGAAGAAGACTTAATTCGAATATTTAAAAAAATTAAATGGACTAAATATGTGTAATTATAACTAAAGGAACCAAAAACGTGTATTTACAAAATTAAAGAAACTAAAATTATATATTTAAAAAATTAAAGAGACTAAGTATGATCAATTAAAATTAGAGGGACAAAATTTGTATATTTAAAAAGTTAGAGGAATTAAATATGAGCACTCAAAATAAAAAAAAAAGCTAAAATTACAAATAGCTTAAAATATAAAAACTAAAGGTAAAATTAATTAAAAATAATTTATATATTTGGTATAAATAACATATTCATCTTCCTTGTAGAGCTTGATAGGCTTATTTCTATTCCAAACACGTTAATGGATGATATGTCGCGATCAGACATTGTCATTTGGTCCTTCTAGCTTTCTTTCTCTGGGCGGTGGGAACCACTCGAAACGCAGCGTTTTGCATGGCATCACGCCACTGACGCATGCTAGGTAGGTGGTGCCAGTAAGTGGACCCCACCTATAGCGTTAAGCGGTTAAGCCCTTACTATGAGCCGTTAGCTTTCAAAACGTGTCACTTACGTTGAACGCTTTCGTCTACGTAAAATGAATTAGTTTCCAAGAATTTTTAATAATTTTTAAAATTATTTTATAATTAAATAAATATTTAATTACATTTTATCATATAATTGTAGTTTAATAAATGATAATTATATATATATATATATATGTGATATACATTATTTTTAATTTTTTTTACTAAATTACTTAGATTAATATTTAATTAGATTAAGATAACCAGATGTGACTCTATAAGAAAATAGGGATCAACATTTTCAAATATGTACTATCTCTTTAGTATAAATTCTCATGTTGGAATACAATTAATTTGAACATTCAAAATCAATATCTATTTCTTATTCGTTCAAGTCTTTGGGAGTGGAATTTACTCATAGGAAAGAAAATGGAGGAGCTTATGGCACCATTAAAACTTAACCATCAAGATTAATTAATCTCTTGTAAAGATAAATTAAGTATAATTTTATATAACATTAGATTATTAATCATTATATAAATGTAAAAATTCATTTTTATTTTACTTTTACCTTTTTCTTTGAATTAAGGCTAAATTTTTGTCACATGTATAAATATATACCGAGTGAGAGCATAAATAAAAGTTCATTTTGATCATATAACTATACATAAATAGTTAATATAAAATATAAGTAAAATTAACATCACAATTACACCAATAAAACAAATTATTTTTGAACTATTGAATGAATCACAAATCAATCCTATTCAAAACAATAACACATATTAAAATTTATTTTGTCATATATACACGTGAGAAATGGTTGATTCATTAATGGGAATTAAATATTTGCTTTTATACTATTTATTAATAATTTTTAATTAATTTAGTATTATTTAAAATTATATATATATATATATATTAAAATTAATGTAATATATATTTAAAATAAATAGGTATTTAATTATTTTTTAACGTTTATTTAAGTTTTATAAAGTTAACAAATAATCTAAATAACATATAATTATAATTTAACATAAAGTTAGAATATTTAACGAGTATAAAAAATTAAATATAAATGATTAAATTTTAATTAAATAATTAAATTAAAGAAAAATGACATTTGTAAATAATCAAACAATTATTAATTAAATTTTAATGTTTTTCTTTTATGCAATTATTAATGATATACTTTACATTGATAATTTTAAAATAAAATTACTCTTTCTAAATGCATGCAATACAAGTGTATCATGGTTGTCACCAATTTATAAGCTTGACAAATCTATTGGCCTTTTCTCCGGCAGGTATAGCTGGAACATTCCCGGAAAAAGAAACTTTGCCGGAATGTGGAAACCACGCGCTTTTCCCCGTACGCTCTCTCTGCTTCTTCCTCTTCTTCACTCGCTGCTAGCACTAGTCTCTGCTCGGGGATCTAACAGAACCACTTGGAACACTCTCAGCGGTTGGTGTCTCGTTTCACTCTCTTTTCTCTTCCTTCTGATTTTCGCTTCATGCATGTCTCGCCGAGAAAATGCACCAAAAGAATAAAATGAAAAAGCGAATTATTCGAAGCTAAACTTAACTTTCTCGAGTGTTCCTTTTTTCTATCTGAAAATGTTAGCAACGCACTCTTTTTAACGCGTTTTTTTATAATTAGTCAATTCATTTAAAAAGTT